TATATACAGTACATGTTTCGGGCTCATATAAGCCCATCATCAGCCAATAGAAAATAACATAGTTCTATGTAGAAAATAGAAAAGGACAGAAGTTCAGCTGTATCTGAACTCTTATCTTACTAATATCATCCAGTGACTCTACGAGATGTGAGCCGTTTTGACCGATAATGAATAGTTTCGGCACAAAAAAAATCCTAAACTTGAAAAATCTCGATTTTGAACACCCTATATCTCTATAATCTTTTTCGAAAGACCCCAAGTGTGATATATCGATAAAATCAGCTCTCCAGGGAGAATAAAAAAATGCGATAAAATACAGGGTGTTCCATTTGAAATATCAATGTTGCTACTACTTTCTAGTAGAAGCGGCAACACTGCATTGTCGAAAATATTTTAAATGAAGAGAGCGTATTCTAAAATATAAGCATGCACATTTTCATGGATTTCTACCGACTGATTCTCCATATAAAGATAGTGTAAGCTCGTCGTGACATACCCTGTATATTATCAGGTAAGACAAGAAAAAGTATTCTACATTAAATGAGGTAGGTTCCTTCATATTATTTCAAATGAAATTTAATTCACCCTAGGAACTGAAAAATGAAGAGGAATATTTTTTTACAACCGAATAACAAGAGTATCTTTTGACGCTGTCAAATCTCAACACAAAATTGACGTTTTTCATGAAATGTTATCATCAAAAACGCTCGCACCGTTGCCACGAACCTGTTCTTGCATGATAAAAAATACTGTCTATGCCAATCAACTAAGGCATTAAAATGGCAAAGCGTGATGTAGTTCTGATTTTTTCAAATGTTGTTGTTAGGGCCAGTTAGGGAAGCTCGCTTCGTAATACGTAAAAAACGGCAAAATATTTGGACTTTTTTTTAATATGTTGCATTATAACACATGAACTATGCGGATGTGATCACAGTTTTTGTAGTGGAATGAATTTGCAACAATTTCAGCTCAATTTCAACTCTTTACGTTCAATAGTTTCCGAGATATTATATTATTTTAAATATTTACATTTTTCGTAAAAAATAATTTTTTTTAGGTTTGTTCTTGTTTCGGGCCGAGCATCGACATAACCACTCAACCTAGGGAAAAAGCCCTAGATATAAAGTTGTAGTAAATTTGTATAGTTTCCATTTGAGCACAAAAGGAAGTCTCTAGATCTGATAGTTTTCTTGAAATTATAAAAACAAACAAATTGCAAAATTGGATTTTTGAAGAAATGTGCCTAAACACTTCTAATAACAATTTGCTCGACAATTTGTGAGCATTTGACGTAGGAAAAATGCAGAGAATTATAAAGAAGATGACCTCTGGTGAGTACCATGGCCTTTGTTCCTAGGTGCTGTGTGTGAGGGCTGTATCTCTCAGAACTCATGGGACGGACGTTCTCCCTTTCTACCCAATCTCATCACCCAGTTACAAATTTGTTACTAATTAGTCGCATTCGGTTCTCCACCCTATATGTCTCATCAAGTTTTTTTCCCTATCAGAGCAATAGTTGCTACCTATACCGTGCTTCTGAAAACACCACATAGGACATAACTCGTGAGATATCGTTATTTGAAGGGAGCGAGAATTCGATCCGTGCCGTTTCCCTCACTTAAACGTAGGTGCTAGCCCCGACTGCGACCGATTACCTTGCCTATGTAATGTTTTTCGATGAGATCACGGTATTACCTACACATTGAACTACTTTGGCAGAAAAGTGTCAGTAGTCTTTGATGCATTCCATCATCCGCCCCTTTCTCAGCATCCACCATATAGACTACATGATGGAATTACTTTATTGCCAGTTCTTATCTGAATAAATTTATAAATATAGGAAAAAAATCAGTTTAATTTCGCAAGAATATGGTACATAAGTTGTGACAACTAGTTATTTGCTCTAACATACTCTGCCATCTTGGCATACTTGGTTATGATAACTTTTACATGAGTGTTATCGACTTTCAACACTTAATTGCGAATTAAATATTTGAATATCTAATAAAACCCAATTAATTCGTACGGAGCTACTTGTTGAGTGTTATCAACTCTCAACACTTAATTGTGAGTTGAATAGGTACTTGAATATCTAATTAAACCCAATTAATTTGTACGGAGCTACTTGTTATCGCAAGGGCGGGTGAGTAGTGATGGCGTTTGTTTTTATGACTCGTTTGGCAGCAAAAGAAAAAACATAGAAGAGTATTTAAGGATGCGGTATAGATGCACCATGCAGTGCAGGTCAGGTTATTCAAAAATTGTGATTCTACAATTTTTGAATTACCAACAAAACTGGACTCGGTGTGTCGACAGTAGAGATTCCTATGTTTTTTTATATCTTAGTCATCTCTTTTCGTCAGGGATTTTTTTGTCACGATTGACCGCCCCCAATATCTGGCCGCTCTAAGCCCGGGCCTACTGTGCCTTATGGGAAATCCGTCACTGATTCCCTGAAGATGGATGCCTCAGAAGTTCCAAAACCGCAGAACGATTGGGTCGCTAAGATGCCCTGCAACGAAATTGTTGCATATAACAATTCACCTGCCCTTGATGAAACTATTTCACGAGAAAGTGATCATGGTTGGTAAGGATGTGGACCTACTTGCTCTTCTTTGCAGCTCTGGCTCGACCATCCAGAATATTCACTCAATAAAAAAAAGTGTAAGGAGTGTGTCAAGTTGCACTCTGTTTCCCACCACTTCTTTCAATCGAGGAGGAATAGAATTGCCCTCCGGATTTGCACTCTTTCCTCACGCATTCAGCGGATGCGATACCACTTCTACCATTTTCTGGCAAAGGAAAATGGAATTAAAGAGTGTTTTACAATGGGAACGGAAACTGATAGACCTGGCCACCGTGTTCCTCCTCACAGATATCAGTCACAAGGCTATAGCCGAAGCTGGAAGCGCCTACTCGCTCCATATGGAGGAGACGTATTCACCAAAAGCCTACACGGCCTTCGGTTCAGCCTATTCGTAAAATCAGCAGCGAACGCGAAGATAAACCTGGCTCGTTTGCTCCCAACCAAAGATGCTGCTTCCTTAATTCCATTCGTATCGCACATGCCACCATTGCAAAAGTGGGTGGAGTTGGTCGAAGAACTCACATGGTTCAATTTCAATAACACCATTATGCAAACCAGCTCCAAATATCTTCCACAAATCGCTCTCATTTGAGTGCAAGCACAGAGCTGTACATAAGTGCTCAATTTTGTGCACTCTGTGCTCTAGCAAGACTTGCTATAACGTCGTTGAATTTCTGATCGACGAGAATGAGGACAACCCCGACGATCTTCCACCTTCAAATGAGCAGGCTGGGATGGACACAATACACCAGCAACTTCCTTCAGTCCTGGAATACGACCGTGATCAACCAGCACCCTCGAAAAAAACTACATTGAGCATTTTTAATTTGTAAGATTCCATAATATGGATACAAAAATATACTCCTCCACTTTTTAGTATTTTTCTTAAGAGTATAATGCCGACATATTGTCATTAGAAGTATTTAGGCTCATTTATTTAATAATACGATTTTCTAATTTGTTTTTTATTCACAATTTAAAAAAACTATCAGATTTAGAGACTTCCTTTTAAATGGAAGATATAAAGATGTACTACATTTTCATTTCAAGGGCTCGAAAATGACAGTTCCTGTTCCTACAATTGACAGACCACACGGAACTCAAACGACTGAAGATGATTAAAAAACTGTGTTGCCATGGTAATGTGAATAATTTATAATTTAGCATGGTACATATCCGCACACTAAATGCCTTTTAGTTATGTGAGTAGAAAAAGATAAATTTCAACTATACTTGAAACTCTTCGTTTTCAGAGAAGCAGTATATTAATTTCTGAATTGGATAACAGTTCAATTTATGATTGTTATTCAGGTAGTCATATGGGCTAGGGGCTAAAAGCGCAGCTGACCAAGCGGTTGATCCGAATTCAATCTCAGACCGGCCAGTATTATTTTACACTAATCTGTAATTTCTCTCCCTTTTTAGTGGACGGCTGCGTTTCTAGAACAATTCTTGTGTGTATTTCGAGCACAAAGTATTATTGCCGCTCTCCAAAGATTGCCGCGCTCCACTTCACGTCACGAGGTAATTCTCTTTGCCAAACGGCATTTTATTACTTTGCACTCTGAATATACAAATAGCTATTTTCATGCCGTTTGCTAGATGTAGTTGAAATTTCTGCATATAACTACACAAAGAGCATTATGTGCCTTTGGTGTTACGCCAATGTTAGGATTTCAAATAAAAATATGTCTGCACTCGTTCAATGAAGGGGTACAGAAAAGTTACATTCCATCTCTTATGAAACATATTTGTGTCTCATGTTTTGTCGTTCAGCTGTTGATGACAGTATACTACATATACCTTCGACTATTTCGAAACTAGATTGATTCGAAAAATTGTTAGGTTAGGTAGAACAATCGTCAGGCATTTTGCATTTGAAAAAAAAAATAAAAAACTCACCTAAGATGCGGGCTTTAATGGTGACACTGTATCAGAATGAATAGCTGCCGGTGGTGATGCTGCCGAATTCTTGTTTTGAAAATTCACGTGGACGCCGCTAGTATAACATAATGTGTTTTGAATCTGCATTCACCATTTCAACTGTTTTCAATCCTCCTTTGAGCAGTTCTCGTTAAATTCGTTCGGTTCAGATGAAGCGTGATTTCCTCAATATTTGGGATAACATCTGTTTCGTTGGAATGAACAATCGGACTAATCATGAATGATTTTCGAGAGGTACTTGTAATGTAGACAACGAGTACACCTACCGTTGCCGAATATAACTTACGTATGGGCCATAGAATTATTTCTTTAAATCTGCTGACATTAATAGTTTACATGTGCCACTTATGACACTTCCAAACAATGTAAACAATCCAGGAATGGCCCAAAGAGAAGTTTCGACGTATGGCGACTCATTTTCATTCGTGTATACGAGACCAATCGTCCGAAAAGAGAAGAATTGCCTACCCTAATGCATCCCGTGCGAATTCCAAGCGGCGTCCGATATGGCGGCCTGCGACTGCGCCTGCGCCACCGCCGCGCTGCGCTGCCCCTGCCGCATGATCTCGTCGGCGGGGGCGCAGTGCGGCCTCGGACCCGGCTCGGGCGTGTACGTGAACGTCAGGCCGGTGGCGTAGATGATGCCGTCGTTCCTCACCAGCGAGACGGGCACTTGGGTCGGCTGGCGCACCCACAGCCACTCGCCGCGGAACTGCGATATGTCGGGGACGACGCACAGCATGCTCTCCTGGCATCTGGAATGTTGTTTGTTTGATTGTTTATTTATCAGCTCAGAAGGTTATTTATTTTCACTTACAAACACACTTGGTAATTACATGTAAGGGAGCTTACAGACTAAGAATGTTTATTTAAAATATCTAATAAAACAAAATGAAAATATACTAACAGACCTACATCATATACAAAAACAAAACAGACATAAGGACGTATACACTACACTAATACTATCTAGGTACATCTTCAAATCACATTTAAGATCTCGTAATAAAACTATTTCTGATTGCACGAGGACTAGTATTAAAAAAATCAATATCACCCATATTCTCAATAAATGTATTGCATTCTCTTAGCATGAAATTAAGAGGTGAGGAGCTGTATATATCAAAGAAGAATAATGATCTGTTCAATATTCGTAAATTAATTTTTGGTATTGTAAATTTTATGAAATTAATCATTTGACAATCTTTGTACCTAACATTATTGGTAATAAAATATATAAATAAAACCGACTGCAGAATTCTTCTTTCATTCAAGGATTGTAGGTTGTATGTCGTCATCATAGATTCATAAGACACCCTCTGCGGGTAAATATTGTTATCTTTGACGTACCTAAGTAGTATCTAAGGAAGCGTTTTTGCACTTTTTCTATCAGATCTTTATGACTATTTGTCTGGGGTGCCCATATTACTGATGCATACTCCAATATAATCTATATATATATATAAGTTTTTGGTATTCCTGATGACAAATCCGAGTACTTTGAAGGCTCTGTTAACAATGTAATCATAATGTGTGTTGAATGTCATGTCAGACTCAAAATTTACACCCAAATATTTAATTTGACTTTTCCTATTCAGATTTATTCCATCAACAGCATATTCATACTCTATAAAGTTCTTTCTTCTGGTGAAAGTACATACAGAGCATTTTTGGATATTAAGATACATTTTATTATCACTAAACCAGTCCGCTACACGGTGGACATCATTTTGTAGAAGAACACAGTCTTCGATACTTGAAATGGTTTCAAACATTTTGAAATCGTCCGCAAAAATTAAACATGATGAGTCTTGTATACAGTCAGGCAAGTCGTTTATAAATAATGTAAAAAGCAAAGGCCCCAAATACCTACCTTCATTAATTTGTACGAGTTTTCTGACACATTGTACTTGATGACTTTATTTGAAAGTATTTGATCCACCTTGTCGAATGCTTTGGCACAGTCTGTGAATATAGTATCCAACTGTTTTTTGTCATCTATCGCCAGGGAGGCATATTGTGTGAACATATATAAATTTGTAGCTGTCGATTTATCCTTAACAAAGCCATGCTGTTGACTGGATATCATTTGGTTAACATTATCAAATAGATTGTCATATAGTATCATTTCAAATAATTTAGAAATTGAATTCAATACACTTATAGGACGGTGATTTTCAATCATGTTTCGTTTGCCATTTTTATGAACAAGGGTAATAACAGCTGGTTTTAACATATCTGGGAATCTACTGTTTTTGATTGCTGTATTAAAAATATGAGCCAGTGGTTTGCAGAGGATTTCTGAGCAGCCCTTATAGATGCATGATGGGATATTATCTGTGCCTGCAGCACTTTTTGGCTTCAAAATAAGCGAGACGCTGTAACGTTTTCATTTTCTGATAGTGTAAGCTCCATTAAAACGTTACTCGTTTTGATATTCAAACACATTATTTTCATTTTGCCCATTTATTCAACATTCACTACAGAGTTTATATGGTAAAATTGCTGCAACACCTACAAGCTCTTATACGCTGTCTCGCCCTGTACGATACTCTTTGTTTCGCCCTGTATATTGTATATCCTCTAGAACTGGTACCAATGAAATCTGAAACGTAGAGAATGATTCAAGTAACTCTATACAGTTCACATCAACCTACAACTATATTTTCGTTAAAAGCAAATAAACTTACCAGCTGATACTCCTGCTGTTGATTTCTTCACAATATGGGCAGTGTGGAAGAATCGGCCTTTGGCCTAACATTGCACCATTTATTTACCATATCATTATTATTGTATTAGTGTTTAATAATAATAATAATAATAATAATAATAATAATCCTTGATAATAATTGTATAATTATTATATGCTGAGCTCACATTGTCAATAGTGTCCGATTTTTATCCAATTGGGATTTTTGAGGTTAGGAAGTGAAAGCAAACGTCAAAAGCTTCAACTTCTGATCCAACAGTCAAACAATATTATAATTATTATTATTCTGGTTTCAACAGTCGAACAGCATTATTCTTATTCTTCCTTTTCATATTTCTTTTTTATCAATGATTTTAAACAAAGGGATAGCAAAAGTCTGTCCATTATGTACTGATTCCGCATTTCTTGACAAATAGGGATTTCCGGCGAGAACATCTTGTCTCTGGTCTCGTTCCTGGTTTTTCTCGATGGTACACGTGTGCGAGCAGAAGTCTGTCCATTATGTACTGATTCCGCATTTCTTGACAAATAGGGATTTCCGAGGGGATTTCCGGCGAGAACATCTTGTCTCTGGTCTCGTTCCTGGTTTTTCTCGATGGTACACGTGTGCGAGAGGCTGAGTATGTGAGTGCCACTATTGAGATATGGCTATCGCCATGGGCGAAACGTTTTTCTACCTAACTTTTTGAAATTACTCATAATGAAAAACTATTGAGATAGGTAATATTCTTGAGATTTCCGTCCAATGAGGTGGACTACGAAAATTAATGGACTGACTGGACTGAGAACTGTTGACGAACCCATGCGAGGCCCTGCTGACGAATTAGATATTCCCTGGCTGACGAAAATGAACCCTCTAGGAAATAGAGGTGAGTTTTTTCTTTTTAGATCGGTAGTTGAATTTTTTTTACGATCATAGGGTTTTCTGGTATGACTGTTGCTATGGTCACCTGCAGGCACGTGGGTTTATTCCTGACCGTTCCTGAGTGCTCCTAAAGGCCTTTTTAATGCTGCGTTTCATCGTCCGGTGCTGAGCGTCATCATACCACGTTGATCCTCAACAATATCGTGTTTCATGGAAGTCGCACCATAGGATGACTCCCAAAACTTCCAGACATCGCTCATCTTTATAACTGTCATTGTTTTACTTCATCTGCAGCCAGAAACCATGTTCGCCTAGACTATGACCTGGATCATCATTGGATAGCAGGCAAAATTGAATTGAATTTTTTTTTTCTAAATATGACATAAAATGTTTTCATTCCAACCAAAATGCAATCAACTCATACCCATATGCCGCCGATAAAAAGCTGCCGTTAGCATTGGGAAATAATAATAATAATAATAATTTTTATTTTCTGTCAAATGTATAACATGAAACAGTAAAGTACGTCAAAAAAAAAGAAAAAATATAACAAACAAACAATGCGACAGCATCACAATTAAATACAATATATTCATCACGTTACTAACATTACATAGAATTACATAAAATACTCATCCAGCGTATAGCAGGCCTTTTGAATTAGCTGTTGTTTAAGCCTCTTTTTAAATATATTCAAGTTTTTGGAGCTCTTAAGTTGTTCATCAAGAGAGTTATATAGTTTACAACCAGTATAATAAAAACTTTTCTGGTACAACGTAGTCCGGTGTCTCTCAGGTTGGAGGTGGCTTTTGAAGCGTGTATTATGATCGTGCTTCTCAACAGTATTCAAAAACATGTTTTTATTTTTATAAACGTATAAACAAACTTCTAGTATGTATAAACTAACTACGGTTAGGATGTTGGCAGTTCTGAAATATGCTCTGCAACTTGTTCTCATATCGACACCAGCAAGAATTCGAATTGCATACTTCTGAAGAACCAGTACTTTATTCACATGAGCACAATTGCCCCAATTCAAAATCCCGTACTTTATGTGGGAATGGAAATTGGCATAGTACAACGAGAGTAGTATGTGCCGAAATATGATATGATTTTCTTTCTCTCCATAAAATTACGTTTCAACGCCTTCTTGACTGCACATTTACTACTAATTTTAGAGCAATGCCATTTAAGGATTTTGAAATATTTAATAAAATCTGAAAATAAAATTATTCTCAATAGTGCATTTTTGTATAGAGGTAAGTTGATCTCGATCGGCCTATTCAGGTCTCTAGTTCACCCTGTAGATTTTATGGTACCTTGTTCTCTGAGGTGATTTTTTTTTTCAACTGATATGTCATTGAACGATTGGTAAAGTTTCAGCTTTTATCACTTTCGACATTTTCTCGTTTTTTTTAACAACATTGATAAGCTGCTGATAAGCGTTGCCCCGCAATTGAGGTGGCAGGAGTGGATTTTGTTGATAGCCTATATTATTACAATGAATAAAAAAATGAACCAAGCTTCATCAAATAAAACATTGAAAAACATCGCTGGCTCCCGGGCTAAGTCCAAATTTGTCAACTATCGCACTACTAATATCTGAGAAATAGAGCTGGGCAGTTCAATGTGAGACAGGTAAGTATACTTTACTAGATTTTGCCTGGAGAAGAAGGGATTGAAACAGATATAAGAGTGAGATGAACAGCCGTTTTCAGTATATAATTTGTGTGAGATGAACAGTGGATTTTTGACAAAATGTCACACATTGATTTTGAAAATCAACATAATTATGCTAAATTTTGAAAATAAATTCGCACCTGTGCCAATGTCACTCTCCGGAAATCAATAAGAGCGAGGCATGTAAATATCACAAATGCTTCCAAATGTACCCAACAAATTAATATCCTCAAAATATAATAGTCCGTTTCCTTTACCCAATGGCAGGTATATCGAAGACTGAAACCTTTGGCACGATAATACACTACACTGTTTTACCACTAACCACACCGATATTTTATACGCCTCGATACGTCTTTCACTAACTATGATAGCATCTTCAGGAGAAGATTAAAACTGTTTTAATTTTCTCCTGAAGATTAAAACAGGTAATATGGAAATATCATAGCAGATGGCACTGGTAGGGTCGCGATTTTACTAAATATACTGCACGCTAGCACAAACCACGCCCACCATAATACGTCATATCTCCAAACATTACCGATATACTAGGAGTCAGCACATCGCACTAAATATACTGTGCTCCAACGCAAGAATACACTTTTTATGATTTTGACACGAATTCGACTGAAGCTCTCTCGTTGTCAATCTCTTGTACGCAGTAAATTCATACACCCAAATGGTCTACTGGTTAGCGCTGTCGACTTTCAGTCTGAAGGTCCATTGCTGTGAACTTGAACTTTTTTTTGCAACTTTTTTTCTCACCAATGTTTTTTTACTTCATTCTGGTTTTCCTTTTTCATAAAATATTTGAAGTCAAATAGGTCAGTGCGTTTAGGAAAAACAGTCTCATTTTATTCAATTTTGTTGAAGAACTCAACTTTTGGAATATATTATTAATCAATGTGTTTCTACACTCCATTCGGTTTTCCTTCCTCAAAATATTGCAATCAGGGATAGGTTAGTTCGTTGAGGATAAAATAGTCTCTGAGTTTTTTCTAAGTAAAGTACTTTGAAGATGAGATATAACGGTGGGCGTGGTATGTGCTAGCGTACAGTATATTTAGTAAAATCGCAGTAGGGTCGGAGGTCATGTCAGCTAGGGTACCTTGATGGAAATTGACGTTAAAGTCATCTTAACAGGGTACGGACAGATCCTCGTCTCCTCTCACTCTAAAGTGTTTGTGAAACAGCTATATAGTTCCATCCTCATTCAATTCTGGGGATAAACACTAGATTTTTGACATTCGTTGTTTTTTAGGTTATATTGGGGTCACTGGCGTATCATACGTAATTTTCATATGGAATTCCTGATTCAGCTATACCAAGATATAGATGAACAATCCTCTAGTTTGAGAGTTTACTACTCCAGCATAATCTTTGCGAGGTTGGGAACATATAAATTGTACTGAAAGCTCAATATATTTCAATAAAAGAGACTGTTTTTAGACTGTATAAGTACTAGGGCTGACTGAATTGACTGAATAGATTCTGATTTCAAGCTGAGCAATAGTTTATCTATGAGCTCAATGAGCTGAGCCTTATGATTGAGAAATGGTGGAAACCTAAACTACTGTACTCATGTCTAATGTGTGCTGAATATATTTTCGGAAATCCGACTCGGGGAAGAATTTATGGAGTGACTAATATCACAATATGTATAAAACTTCGTCTAGGACGGAAAGTAGGCTGATAAAAAGTAATACCGAAAACCCCCAGATACCAATTTTGAATAGAACCGAATCTTCATTATAAAATTCATCCACCATAATGGATTCGCCATCTTGAATATCCCATTTCTGACGAAACAATTATAATCTCCGACCCCGGGAATTCCCAGATACCAATTTTTGAATTGAATATCGGATCATAATCACAAAATTCGTTCGCCATATTGGATCCGCTATCTTGAATTTCCTTATCTTGACAAAAAATCATAAAGTTTGACCCCGAAAACCCTCAGGTACCAATCTTAAATAGAATCAGATCATAATCAGCTTTCGCTATTCAGGCTGATTCACGATGGCAGCGCTGATAATATTTCAGGTCGATAGAACACAACTAATTATTCAAGGCACCAACCATTGTCGTTCTAGATGACAACCTAGTTAGGTAGTTAGTAGGCAGGAGGTCGCCAACTAGGTTTTCATTTAGATCGACAATGCACCAACTCTTCAGAATAATCCTGACTTGCGTTCTCCAGAAACGACGTACTAATGTGCCATCCACCGTGAATCAGCTTCTGTATATTGGATCCGTCATCTTGAATTTTCCAAGTTTGACGAAACAATCATTATCTCCAGCCCCGGAATACCCCAAATACCTTCCAATTTTGAATAGAATCGGACCCTAATTACAAAACTCGTTCGCCATATGATCTTCAACAAGTAAATACCCTGTACATACCCATTATTAAAATTTTGAATGATTTTCTGTAGCGCCCATGGATGTAGCGTGACAGCAATGTCAGGGATGCCAGTAGACAAAACTAAAGTCTCTAGATCATTGAAAAAGAATGCAGCTATGATCTGTCCGTACCCTGTTGAGATGACTTTAACGTCAATATTCATCAAGGGACCCTAATGTCAGCTATCATCTTTTTTATTTATTCGAGTATCGACATTTGCTTATTCAACAAAAGTTCAATAATATTCGTTATTCATAACGTCTAGAACAGGGGTGTTCAGACTTTAAGGGATTGTGATTCACATATTACAAAACATTGAGGTGACAAATAATGATCCAACACATAATAATATTACGATTAGAAGTATATTGGATGTAACACATTCAGGAAGATGACTAATTATTATAAATATACAGGGTGACATTTTGAGAACTTCCCAACCTTAATCAATCAATCAAATCTTTATTCCTTTTGACAATAATAACATTAGGTCGGAAACGTAAAATTTCTTGAAAAACCCATAGAACACACAATAATAGATACACAGAAACGAAATACAATACAAAGAAGTCACTGTACCGGACAATCCAAGAAATCTTGCACAGTATAAAAACAATTATGCATCAAAAATGTTTTGAGGCGCATTTTGAAAATTTCAAGCGTCAAACTTGATTTAATATGCTTAGATAAATGATTGAAAATACGTGGTCCTATAAAGTTAGGTGTATTTTGGGCTATTTTGTATTTTCCCATTTTTGTGTGAATTGAGCCTTTTTGGTGTGTATTCATGTTTTGAATGTCTTTATTAAGCTTGAAATAGGCTATGTTATCTTTCCAACGGTACCATAGTTTATTATTTGCTGTTGAGCTGTTTCCGAAAAATGCCGAAACTATCCACCGTTAATATCTCCCTTGCAGTAAATCTATAAATCAATCAACCTGTGCTTTATTGTCCAAGAATATTGTTCTTATTGACAAAGCTTAAATGATGTAATTATGTAGTGGAAGGATCCATTTTGTCAAAAAAGAAAAATGTATAACTATACATAATGTATAGGAAGTTATAAATTACACAAAAACAATTACAAATACATACATAATATAGCTAACAATATAATTGAATGAATATAATATGAGAACACTTTATATAATATCACATACATTTTTCTGCTTTTATATATATAACTTTCATATAATTTTTTGTGAGAGATGTTTCAGGTATTGGCAGAGAAATTTTGTTCTCATTTCAGGTGCATATATGATGAGTCTCAATATTTCCATTTGGAAGCTGTTTGATATGAATCAGACAGGTCGTTTCAAGGATGAAAATGCATGTTATTCAAAATTTTTTGTTGGATGAATAGTGGTCTACAACAGTATCTTGCTCTAACTTTACAATAATATGAAAAATCGAAGACAGGTCAAATTCATTTTCAAGGACCTAGAAGGAGTATATTTTTCAACAAAAAAAAATAAAAAAAAAAGTTTGGCCTCGCAGGTGTTGAACCCGAGTCACCGCCGTGGTAGTCAGATACACAGTCAACTAAGCTATCGCTTTGCTCGGCAGTACTCTCTATGAAGAAGGAAGAAATATCGTCGCGGCGGTTGTTTATGTATCAGTATCTAACCGCCGCGACGGTCGTTTATGTCCCTGAGGTGCATGGTTTTCAGGTTAGTATTATTGTATTGACATTCTTTTTAGTCCAAATAATAGGCAGATTTTATACAGAGTCAATTTAACTATAATGTTCTGAAAGTGATTCTAGCTTCCATCTAAATCTATCATTGAGATTTTCTGATAACTCAAACCATTTTGTTAACTTCCCATCAATGCTCAATGACAGTTTGAATGAACCTGCTCACCCTTTAATGTTGAATATTGACAAATTGGTTGATGGTGTTGTTGTTTTTGGATTACTCACAGTATAAGTTAATTTCATCTGATTTATAGTGTATTTCATTGTACAGGTTGACTGGAATTCGAACCTCATCATTGAGATCTCGTGAACCGTAAGAGATACAGGGTTGGTCAAATTTGGTAAATTCTGAATACTTTCGGAGAAATACGAAACAAACCGAAATTTCCGAAAACCCCCTTCATATATCTTTTTAGTTTTTTGAAGAAATCAATGTTAGAAATAGGTGGAATTAGATAGAAATGAATGCTGCTAAATTATGGAGACTGTTTCATTACTACAAGTTGGCGTTTTCAAATCTGAAACCCGACGTTTTTTCCAGAAACCAACATCAATAAATTTAAATACGGACCTGGATTGTTTATTTAATTTTTTCACACCTTTGAATATGCTATGAGCTATCACAATTTTTTCATTTTCGAATGTTTTGTTTACAAAAGTTGACAGTTTTGTATTGAATATTGAAAAATATACAAAATATTGTGGTTTTCACTAATTATTTGAAAAACCAAAGAAGTGTTTTAAATAAAACTCACCTGTACATAGTCTCTGCTTCAACATCCCCAAACCACACCTGCAAAGAAGGGGAAAAATTGTCTCCAGTCAGTTCCAACATCGCCACATCTCCGCCACCATTCAAATGCAGGCTATGGACTATAGGCACAGGTGTAACAGGAGATCGGACAGGACCCATTCCCTCGTAGAACTGATATTCAGCTTTGTCTGTGGATATGATAGTCCAGCAGGCGCCATCATTGATCATCTCCTTGTTGGGTTCCTTCGGACAAGGTGTGGCTTGGAACTGGATGATCCGTTCTTGAGATAGACACAGGTACATCCTTTCAGTGTCTTTCATGTAGAAGGCGCATTTGTGTAGCTGAGATACCGGATCGTCAGCTTCAAGTAGCGCCTGCTGTTTGTCTACCTTGAAATACACAAAAGCAAACATATTCAGGATGTCGGGAAATTACGTTGATTTTATTGTAAAAACTAAACTACTATAGGTATAGGTTTTTTATATTGATAATCAATTTATGTAACATATAACGAAAGAAAGCGGTATTATAATTTCACAAATTCCATGTATCATATAATTTTCTGTAAGGGTCTTTAGTATAATATCTCATTATCAATAGCGATTTATATATCAAGGGAGCGAAGGTATCCATGTCCTCCCGCGTATGAAGTTTGATTAAACACACATAGAAGGAAATGAACCTTTGCTCCCAAGATATATATATATATGATTTTTTCCACCAACGCATATATTTGAGAGCGTCATTCTCAAAATTGTGCTTCAAGCAGTCTATCTCTCGAGTCTTGATCATATAACTCATAATCTTTATATCTTAGGCGGACGAACAAATCATGCATCAGCTGCAACACTGTAAGTGAAGCATAAACAGCAGCGGCGTGCAAATTCGTGGTGAAATTTAAATACACACCAGTGACGTATTTCGAAGGTAAGATTGTAACAGGGTGTTTTTATGATTCTCGCAAATATATAGGAAATCAGACACGAATCTTGATCTGGGTATTCTCATATCATAATGGATTGCTACAAGGTCTGGTATCCAACAAACTAAAAGAATTAATCATTACGGAAATTTTTTTGAATGATAAATATCGGATAAATATATTCACAAATTCTTTTAACTGTGCTTATGGGTACAGCAATAACTAATTAATTATTGTAATCAGTATGCACATATCTGAGCAGAATTGTATTGGTAGTTGCATATCCTCTACCGCTGCTACCAAGTATTAAAATACGTCCGAGCAAGAGTCAGTACAGATACGGACGTGGTGGGAATAGTTTTCGAAAAGAAGTGATCCCGAATGCACGCTTCCGCTTTTGGCGAATATGGACAATCTTGAAAATTGGTCAAAATGTGAAGTTCGTGATTCACCTTGTATATATAATTTGGTACAACAATAACCTATCAGCAGTTACATGCCGTGAAATTCGATAGATATCCAGATATCTCATTCTGGAGCTCCGATAGCCGGCCGACAAAGAATAATACAGCTCCTTCACGAGGTAAACCGCTCTTCTTTTCTGCTGTCAGCTGGTGATCACCTTTGTATACAGTCCATCATAATCAACCATTAAGCATTTTTGGTCCGTGGAAATCGAATTTATCGAAATTTATTACCTTAAAATAAATTCAGGTAGGTACAGTTGTTCCTACTCAAGTTTTTGCAGATAGAGATCGCGATAAAAGTTTTTATTTACAACCATATATGTAATGTTGTCATTACTAACGTCATTGAAGGTTGGGAAGTGTCACATTACACACCTCTACTTCCCGCCCTCACTTTCCGCCCTCACTACTTCAGAACGAAACATAGATTTATTGATTTTGATCGAAATATGATGGTTGTAAATAAAAACGTATACAAACCTCGGTAAGGAGTTTCATTCTTGTCTCGAGATTATAGGTAACCTCGACGCTTTGCGTCTCGGTTAACTAACTAATCTGACGACAGGAATGAATCACTTCCCACCTCGGTGTGTAATATACTATTACGCGGTCTCTAGCCAGTATATAAGTATATTGTTGAATAGACCTAGTGTAAGGTATATAGTATTTCGTTTTCTCTCTCTGAACTGATTCATTCGAAGAATTATTTTATTGAATTGGTTTGTCGCGGTAAAATTAATATTTTTATTAAAAAAATGAATAAACTAAAACAGACTCTCACCTCTCGGGCAACAGAGATAGAATAGATTGAAGGAAGTTTCCGACAAAGCCGCCAATGCCAAAGTTAACTCACCTTGTATATAGTTTGGTGTAACAATAACCTATCAGCAGTTACACGCCGCGAAATTCGATAGATATCCAGATATCTCATTCTGAAACTCCGATAGCCAGCCGGCATAGAAGAATACAACTCCTTCACGAGGTAAACCGCTTTTCTATTCTGCTGTCAACTAGTTATCACTTTTGTAAACAGTCCATCATAATCAACCATTAAGCTCCCCCGATTTAAAAAGAGTTTTACTTTCTGAGAAAAACGAGATCAAGAAAAAAACAAGAAAAGTCCAATTTCATTTGGCAGGGTGGTATAACCGAAGGTGGCTAGCGTGAAAAGTGCCCCTTTCCTGTGCAGAATCATACTATCGCAAAACATAGGTAGCATGGCTAATTTTCTTCTTCACCCGGTATGGAACTTCGAATAAAAGGAGAAAGTTTTTAGTTTCGGCCAGTACCGCTGATGAAATCGTATTGGCCCGCAGAACTAAATCACCAGGTTGGTAATTATAATAGTGTCTCCTTGGCTAGGATTAATATTTGCTGTGGTGTAATAGGAGTCACCCCTGGTGGGGAACCCAATAACTTCTTTGGTGGAAGAATCAAATCTGGATAAAGAAGGAAGCGATGGCGGCCCACCTGAGGATTCGTGACTCAGGAAACTGGGCAAGTGAAGGGACAATAACGGGACATGCAAAAATAGCAAAGTGGGTGGAGCAGGAGATTCCTATCTCCACTCTCAGAGTGAATAAAGTTCAGGACAGGCTGAGATGGAATAGAAAGTTCAAACTTACTATTACTTACTACAAGCAGAGAAGAATGGAGAAGCAATAAAGTGGAGTTTCGCCCAGGAAGCTTAGTATGTTACACAGACGGATCCCGTCTGACTGACAAACGGGCCTCGGGCGCAGGGATCTATCTCGAAGGGAGAAACCTCGGGAGAAACATACGAGAAAGCTACGCTCTAGGAAAATACATCACAGTTTTCCAAGCTGAGGTGTTCGCCATCCTGGTCGTAGCAGAGAGGCAAGAGGTGAAAGAGGGATCAGAGCAGAAGATCTTCATCTGTTCGGATAGTCAGGCAGCAATCAAGGCTATCTGTCATCCCAGACCAAGCTCAGCATTGGTACAGGAATGTGGAAATGCCCTCGAGATATTAGCCGAATCAAAGGAAGTTGAACTGGTATGGGTCCCAGGTCACAGTGGGGTGCCCGAAAACGAAACAGCAGACGAACTTGCTAGGGCCGGATCCGCGGAGCCGTTTCTGGGGCCGGAGCCTATTCTAGGTATAGCAAGGAGCCAAATTACGTCAGCCCCCTCGATGAATGGGCAGACAAGGCACTAGGGGAATATTGGAGGAATATCACAGGTTGCAGGCAGGCCAAGGAATTCAAGGCCGGTCCAAGCAAGTCGAGGAAGGAGTGGCTGCTTGGCAGAGACCGCCAAGTACTCTGCCTCCTCAAAGTAGTACTCACAGGACACAACAGGCTAGGCAGACACCTATCACTAATGGTAATAGAGGACAACCCCACTTGCCGCAGATGTGGGGAAGACGAGGAAACGTCACTCCATTTTCTCGGCGAGTGCGAGGCGTACGGAAGGCTGAGATTTGAAATCTTTGGAGAAGACAAACTCCAACAGGAGAAATTGATTATATCAGAGTGGACGGACATACTGGCCTTCATCAGAAGGTCAAGGAGATTCGTGAAGGAAATCTAGGTGAAGGAAGCGTAGATATGTCGAGAGCTGAGGTTAGCAAAAAGGGCCCATCGGGGCCTACTTGCTTGGATACAGCCGCCTCACCTACTACTACTACTTGGTGAAAGACGGTGCTTCTCATCGTCAAAATGGAGTTCTTTTCTCGGTTCTTTCGGTGTGAACCCGGTAGATTCGTGGACTAAATTATTTTGCTGGTCATGACAAAACGCACGGCACAATTGCCCCAGTTCCCGCATTAGCCTTCTCGAAGTATTTCCCTGTGGATGTCTCACCGAGCTAAAAATCACCTTGGACGACTCGAGAGTTTCAAGCCACTTTCCAGTCGTGAACTGAGTCCCGTGGTCGGTTAATAGCTATTTTTATAAATCAAGGCAGGAAAGGTACCCATTTCTTACCGCGTGTGAAGTTTGATGCACGACGCGTAGCGGAGGGCATTAAACACACATGGGAGGAAATGGACCTTAGCTCCCATAATATACCGGGTGGCTACGGAAGTATTGCCCACGGAATATCTCAGTTATTGTATGAAGTAGGTTCGTGAAATCTCGAGTGTCGATATACTGACATAAGAGCTAGAATTTGATCATATTGACATGTCGAAGTTAACTTCCGGTATGACCGGAAGTAACATCAACTTTCTTATTTTGAATGGAAACCCTATTTTTTTTCTTTTCGCTTTATTCAGCATTCAATTCCCTTTCTAATGACATATCACAAGTTGGAATCTAACCAGAAACTAGATCAGAAAAAAATTATTATTGAAATTCACCGAGTAGGCCGTGGAAGCATAATGAAAACCAAAAAATGACTTTCTATTATATCATTGAAAAGGAATGGTTATGCTGAATAGTACAGGCAAGAAAAAGTTGTATGTTCCTATTTAAGTTTTGGACCTACAGAGTATTGTTTTTCTCCCAATTTTTCCAATATTTTTTTTGGTGGCTTTTTATAACGCCGACGAATGAGAATAAACTTTTCAATTTTTGGCTCTCATTTTGCTTCCACGGCCTACTCCGTGAATTTGCATAATAATTTTTTTCTGATCTAGTTTCTGGTTAGATGCCAACTTGTGATATGTCATTAGATAGGGAATTGAATGCTGAATAAAGCGAAAAGAAAAAAAATAGGGTTTCTATTCAAAATAAGAAAGTTGATGTTACTTCCGGTCAGACCGGAAGTTAAGTTCGACATGTCAATATGATCAAATCCTAGCTCTTATGTCATTATATCGACGCTCCAAATTTCACAAACCTACTTCATACAATAACTGAGATATTCCGTAGGCAATACTTCCGTAGCCACTCGGTATATACAGGGTGTCCGCTAAAAGGAGGTCAATCCATTAACCATAATTATATTCCTTGAAGAAAAACAATATCAGTTTCTAGATACCATTTTTCATTTAAGCCCTTTATATTCGATATACAGGGTGTCAAAGTTGGAAAATTAA